ACTAAGTCGTCGAGTGCCTGGGCTACCAGGTTTGGTAGTTCTGAAGGCTTCTCTGTGACCAAGATTTTAAAAATATTTCCTTAAAGGGGCGAAGTCTTCTTCATCAGTGGGAAGGCTGCCAAAAGGACCAAATGCCAGGGGAAATGGCTATTGAATTTATGGTGTAAATTCCCAAATGCCCTACAAAGTAGTGGAGAGAGAAATAGGGGAAGCAGCTTTATAGGTAATAACAGACATTAAATCCTGGCAGGCAATAGGCAGTCCAACCAGGACTGTGTCTGCCTGTGCAAGATCCAATCAATTCTAATCACAGAGTACGCAGCACAGCAGCTAGGCTGCGTAATGGAAGGATCTAGTCACTTTCACTACTTTAAAAGGGGAGACCATTTTAATTCATGAAAGAAATGCTAATGAATTTACAGTCAACGTTTGCTATTTAAAAGCCCGTCTCATTTTCCCTGTATCATGACAGATAGGCATATACTTGTATAAAACAAGCGCAAACTCATTTCACTTTGATTATAAGGCAGACCAAATTAGCCTTCATCTTTGAAAGAGTTATCCAGGGTGGGACCCATCAGCAAAATTCTGCTGCTGGCCCCACTTTCCTGTTAATTACTTAACTGAAGATTCTAATTTGGAGCCCAAGAATCCTATCAACAGCAGCATAATTACTCTGCCTTTAATGAAAAACATTTGGATCTGGCAAGTGAGGCCACATCATCCCATCACAGTGGCAGCTGCTCCTGCCACCAACTAAGACTAAGCAATATTTTTTCCTGGCACACTATTTCTTTAGCTGCTCTTTTTTATTAGCAGCAGCTGGTTGGCCATTTGGCTATGGAGAGAGAGTTACACTATAGTAGGGGAGACAAAGGGGTGGCAGAGGAAGAACAAAAAGCAACACATTTCCTTCGTAGTTTCAAGTATTATCCAGAGATTTTGCAATGACAGGAAATCCCTGAATTTGCAGGATTCTTTTGCTCACTATGACACAGTGGTTGGAGTTATACAAATAAGTACTTGGAAAAAAGATGGATAGCAGCGTTCAGATTTTATTTGAATCTTGATCCTGTGCCTCACATTTTACTGTTGGCAACTCTTAAGCGCCTCGTGTTGAGCACCCTTGATGCCAGCTGCTTCACCTTTCTGTTTTAGTCAGTGCATCTGGACACTGAGCAAACTCCATAGCACCCTCTGGTGAAAAAATAGTCAACTGCAAGCTGTGGGGGGGTCTACCAGCATTACCTCAGGCCGCACAAATCTAGGGTTTGATCATCCCATCAACTGCTTGCAGCCAGGCCCCAGATACTGAATTGTCAGCATCTATGTATTTACATAGCTCATTACAAGCAAACAGTGATTCTACCTTGAGCACGCTCGCGCGCGCGCGCACACACACACACACCCACCCACCCCAGTTATTTGTATTGCAGTAGCACCTAGAGGTCACAATTAAGAATAAGCACTGCGTGCGCACACATGCTCAAAGTGACCCCGACCCAAAGATCTTACAATATAAACCAGGGGTCGGCAACCTTTCAGAAGCGGTGTGCTGAGTCTTCATTTCTTCACTCTAAGTTAAGGTTTTGCGTGCCAGTAATACATTTTAATGTTTTTAGAAGGTCTCTTTCTACAAGTCTATAATATATAACTAAACTATTGTTGTATGTAAAGTAAATAAGGTTTCTAAAATGTTTAAGAAGCTTCATTTAAAACTAAATTAAAATGCAGAGCCCCCCGGACCGGTGGCCAGGACCCAGGCAGTGTGCGTGCCACTGAAAATCAGCCACTGAAAATCAGCTCACGTGCCGCCTTCAGCACCTGTGCCATAGGTTGCCTACCCCTCATCTAAGCATACGTTGAGACAAAAGGTGGATGCAAACCAAACCAGATGCAGGGAGGAGGGCAAGTACAATGAATTCCTTTTTAAGTGTGTTTTATCTTCTGGGGCAGCATGGTAGATTGTCCCATTAGAAATCATTAATAGTGATATTTGTGTTAGATAATTTATGGTAGCAGCTCTTATATCCATTTCCAGTAGTAATTTTAACACTTCCGTGGTGCTTTTCATCCTTAAATCTCAAAATACTGTACCCATCTTTGTAATCATTACTTTGACTTATAACATTACAAATAAACACTGTCAGAGTTCAGCAAGCTTTGTAGAATGGACAGTATCTTCTTGGTTAAGTGTCTACAGCAGGGGAAGGCAACCTATGGCATGTGTGCCAAAGGTGGCACGCGAGCTGATTTTCAGTGGCACTCAAACTACTCGGGTCCTGGCCACCGGTCCGGGGAGGGAGGGCGGGGGGCTCTGCATTTTAATTTAATTTTAAATGAAGCTTCTTAAACATTTTAAAAACCTTATTTACTTTACATACAACAATAGTTTAGTTATATATTATAGACTTGTAGAAAGAGACCTTCTAAAAACGTTAAAATGTATGACTGGCACGCGAAACCTTAAATTAAAGTGAATAAATGAAGACTCGGCACACCACTTCTGAAAGGTTGCTGACCCCTGGTCTACAGCATGTTTTATACTGCATGCACTTCACCACCACCTCCTCAAGACAGATATTTTAGGGTTTCCTGTACCAGAGTGCCCTCTGCTGAATTGGAAAATGACATTAAGTTCTGCATTACCCTATGAAAGCTACATGTAAGGGGTAGGGACGAGACACTGGGATATTATCCATTTAACATAGGTTCCACTGGAGGAGAAAGCTCTTTTGCTACTACTCAAAGTAATGTCAAGAGGTTAGCATATTATTGCTCTTTTAAACCCTTTTCACTGAAGAGGGTGATCGCCGCTTATGGCTCCAAGCAGGCAGTATGCTGCAGCAACAGAAGCCACTCTGCAGGAATGACATCTCAAGGACCCAGTCCCATTCGTCTGCTCACATGATTAAAAAAAAAAAAAAAAAAACACACACACCCTATCACCTGTGGGTGAACAAGGTACACAAAGTGATCATTCTTTATCTGACTTATCAATCCTCATCCTCAAAGGAAACCAGCACAAACACTTTCAAAAGATGAACCTGGGAGCTTAAATTCATTAGTCTGCGGACACTAAAAAATCATGAATTGAACAGGATTTACGGCTTATTACAACAATCTGTAACCCACTAACTGCCTCTTTTTGTCCTATGACTGAAGAGGTGCTAATGGGCTACTCTACCTTGTATGGTCCCTGACAATATGTGCTAACTACTTATGCTAAACTACCTGTTCCACCTTGTGTTTTGCTGCGACTGGAGTATCTTTCCCAGACCTGAAGAAGAGCTCTATGTGGCTTTCACCAAAAGAAGTTGGTCAATAAAAGATATTACCTCACCCAACTTGTCTCTTGCTCACATGAGTCATCCTACTGGTTTAAATGAAACTATCCACATAAGGGTGGATCTGGATTTCAAACCAAGATTTCAATGCCAATTTATGTCAACATCTTGGCAACAGAGGGACACTGCATTTGTGATAAAACACCACAGAATATTTCATTAAAAATAAGAACTTTCCGGAAGCAAGCCCTGGTCTACACTAGAGTTAGGTTGACGTAAGGTAGCTGACGTGGATCTAACTCAGTAAGTGTCTACACTAAAATGCAGTTCCCACCAATGTAACTCGCCCACTACATCAACTTAATAAGGCCGTCTCCACTAGCAAGCTTACAGCGGCACAGCTGTACTGATGCAGCTGTACCGCTGTAAGATCACTCGAGTAGCTGCTCTATGCAGATGGGAGAGAGCTTTCCCATCGACATAATTAAAACATCTCCAATGAGCGGCAGTAGCTATGTCCACAGAAGAGCATCTCCTGCAGACATAGTGCTGTCCACACTGGCGCGCCTGTCCGTGTAACTTATGTCACTCAGAGGGGTTTTTTTTTCCACATCCCCGAGCGACATAAGTTATACCGACAAATGTGCTAGTGTAGACATAGCCTCACTCCAACTCCATGAGAGACGTAGTGCTTAAGTCCATGTAGTTAGGTCGACGCGGTGTCAGTGTAGACACTGCATTGCTTACATCGACTGTGGCTGTCTTTCAGAAGCTGTCCCACAATATTCCACACTGACAGTTAAATTGGTGCAAGCGCTCCTGGTGAGGACGCGCACTGCCAGCACAAAGAGTAGTTAATTACAGCAGTGGCTGTTAGTCGAGGTAACTGAGGTCGACTTAATTTCGTAGTGTAAACTTGCCCTAAGATTTTGCTTCTAAGAAGTTGCAGGCACAAGGTTAGTCACTGGAGTACATCTCTGTCTCTTTCACCAAGAGAAGTTGGCGAAACGAGAGCAGCCATGAGAACAGTTTCTGACGTTAGGGATTTGGAAAGAATTGTCACAGTAAGTATTTATACATTTTTACTATAGAAAAAGCTTTAGCATGCAAGTTAACACTCCCATTCTATTTACATTCTTTTATTTACAACATTGTTAGCGGAAACCCTGAAGTTTGGTTTTGGTTTTTTTTTTTTTTTTTTTTTTGAGCGGGGCGAGGGGAGGTAAGGTATGGGGAA